TTTTCACAGTTTAGTTCTTGCATGTATATGGTTAATTATTGTTAGCATTTAATTAGCAGTGATTGCGCCATGTTTGATTAGAACCAAAACAACTCGTTTAGTGTAACTAGCGAAACAAATCAAAGAGATGGCATGATAATTATAATAATCACGAAGATACAAAAACATATCTTGGATAGTATAACGAGGAAAGGAAAAAAAATGAAAGCTTTATATATGGATATATATAAAGTTACAATCCCTATGAAACTGTTAAACCCTGGGATGCATGTATCCATTAATGAAAGGTGCAAGTCAGATCACTCGCATTAATACATCGAAGGGAAAGTTTCTGGTATTGCTAATTAATTAAGACAAGCAACACTGTTTTTAATTGTCTTTTCTTTAGTGACATGTGTTAATATATATATACATACTGTTTTTAATTGTCTCACTTTTAGTGAAATGTGCTAATACACACAGTACACTCGCTTTTACCAAACTCCACACGACAGTGCAGTATAATGTTTTATAACAGCATCAGGCAAACAACGTTTTCATGTTTATGTGTATCTTGTTTGGAGATTATGGTCAGCCAAAGTAATAAGCAATTGATTATTTTCAGTTGAATTAATATTAGCCAAATATTTCTCTCACAAGAAAACGTTAGTGCTGAGGGAAGATTGGGTGGCTATCAATTTAATATTCTTCATTTTTCTTTTTTCTCTGGTGAATTTGAGAGTATGATTTTAATTGTGTTAACTAATGAATACTTCTTGTTCATTTCAATTTCTTGTCACTTCGATGTACATGTGCATATTTTTATATATTATTCAATTTTTTCAACAATATGTTGTTTGTATGTGTTACACTGTTCGCCAATCCTGGGCAAGTCCTGCTATTTAATAGTGCTTATATATTATCCATTGACAAGGTTCGAACTTAAGAATATACATAAAATTCAAAACCACCTTTATTATTAGATACGAGTTACATGTTTATTAATTAATTAGACCAACTTTCGTTTGGGATACTATGCAGTCTTTAATTCCAAAATGACATTACATTATTGAATAATAAATTAATACGAAAATTTGAGATGATCAAACTTGTTATAGGGGCATTATACTTCAACGAGATCCTAAGAGAATATTCATCTACTTAGTGTGGTAAAGTTGTTTAAAATTTGATCTTTTTCAAATTGATTCAAAATTTAACATAAAATACAAGATCCACATTGATGTTTATGATTTTTTAACTTTAGACTTAGTATTTGATTTGAAAGATTCTCCAACATGAATATCTTCTTGTTATCATTGAGAATGCCTCAGAATTGCTTTTTCCTGCACAAATTTTGGTTTTACAACTACACTTTATCTGTGCAGAACGCAATTAAATTTACTTAATATGACTTCTTAGGTTTAATGAACACCTAGTTGTGGCTATTGGACGAGGTACTCTTGAGCAACTTTTAGCTTCTTGAATTATATCAATTGTATAGATTTGACTTGAACGAGTTATATTATCATTTTTCATATTGTTATTATATTTTTAATCAGAATTAAATTTTTTATTCAGCATTATAAAAATAACTTAAAAAGTAAACAAATTAAACAAGTGACTAATTTATTCAAATTAAATATAAATGCTTTGACCAATTTTTTTAAATTTTCCACTAGAAAAGATTCGGGTTGATTCTTGACAGGCCTCTTGGTTTTAGTGGCGAGAAATTGACTTCTCCAACTGTCCAACATATCTAAGTAAGATCAATGGATGCCGTAGAACAGAAGGAAAATATGAACTCCCACTACTGTCCAAAAAAGCTCATCATACAACCCAACACATGAAAATGGATCATATAAGAAACATTTGAATTTTAAACGCGCTTTTGGTAACATAATAATATATATTCACAACAAATAATAAAATGGAAATTTTTGTAAGTTCTTTTAGACTAAATGTTAAATGTGTTGTATGTGTATTGTGTATGGTATGTGTTTTATATGCAATTTGGTACAATATTTGATAGGGTTGTAAAATTGAACATGAAGTAATATACTGTAATATTCTACGTCACCGAATCCCTCGAAGTCAAGCGTTTATAATTAGTTAGGCATTTCACATTGAAGTAAAATTAAATGTCATAAAATTCGTGGAAGTTGCCTAAGTAGGTAAAGTCATTAAAATGAGTGTGAATTGTGAAACGCCTCCTTTAGAGATAAGTATGTTTGAGATATATATAGCAGCAAAATCTTTTTACGATTTCGTTTTGGAATGTCACAAAGATATGCATATCCATATAGAGGAGATTTGCTGGACTTTATATAATCGAAATTCCAACTCTTTTGCTTCGATTATTATCAAGCTAGTACACTTCCAGAAAGCAGAAGCAGGTCCACCTCCATGACTAGAATCCAAGGTGCATTATGATCAAATAAATTTTCAGGATTTTAATGTACAACACAATAGCTAAGGACTTCAAAAGAATCAGAATTGGAACACTATCGCTTATAATATTAAAAATAAGGCAACTTTTGATCTCAAATTTTATGCAATGCATTTGTAGAATCCAGAAGATATAACTAACTAAACATGTGAGAAAAATAATGCATATTTTTCTGGTACATCTAAAATTAGCTTAATCTTATGCATAGTGCATACAGTACCCTAAACCATAAATAGAATAAGAATGTTAGGTGTAATTAAAAAACAATTTCATGGGATATTATATATATATAAGAGAAATAATAACAAGGTACTAGATATTACTGGGAAATGACATAAAGATACTGGATGCTGCTTTAATATAACACACACACAATTCTTTATATATTATTAATAGAAAACAAAAAAATAATTAAAGAAACAGGGGTGTTCCTATAGTTACCATGATGAAAACAAAGGTGTTTTGTGGAGATGGGCTGCTGATTCCGAATTGCTCACTCCATAATAAGTAAAGTTCTTCTTTTTCCTTTTTCTTTTGAAACTGGGGAAGTTAAAGTTTAAGGAGATGACATCCTATTGAGAGCAATGTTACTAATTTTTCCAATTGCAGTAATTATTTTGTCTCGTGGGCCATATACACTCATGAGATTGTGATGCGTAGTACGTGAAGAAGAAGGGAAAAAAAATGGATATGACAATCCAAATCTCAATCATATATTATAAGATTCAAAGATGTTTATTAATCATCATCATCTGCGCATGCACGAGTGCAAGACACATTTTTATGCCACCATCATTATTGACAAAGCAAACTGAAGAATAATATCCACATGAGACATATATAAATACAATAATTAATGAACAAACATTACATTATTGCATAATATGAATAATGTTTGCTCACATGAACATCGCACATGCAACGTCATGCTTTTTTAAAGTGTCTTTGGAAATCATCATTAGCAACAGAAATGAGAAGGACATGGAGCAAATTATATGGACAATGCCGGCTGGGATCATCACTTGATCAGTAATTTCTTTTGTGTAGATTTTAAATTACTGAGTGTAATTTTTGTTTTAGCATGCATTAATAATGCTTGGCTTTTGTGAAGATGCCCTTTTTTTTTCTGTGTGGACCTGTACTGTCCTTCGCGGCCATCTAGACGCTAGCTAGGAAGTTCTTATCAACCAAACTGATCATTCAAAAACAAAAAACAAAAGAAAATTATTGGAGTGGTTGGATCATTATGCATTCACATTAGATATGGAAGTTATCATTGAGACCAAATGTGAAACAAAAAATTTGCAACGATGGAAAAATCATGAGCACTGTAGTGGGTCTGGACCAGCCTATAAATGGATGCCTTTTCAAGCTATCAGTTTCCGAATTAATTGATTGTTTGAAAACTTCGAAGCATTTGTACAATATCAAGTGATTTATACGTCAAAGTGGTCCATATTCCAATCCAATTGTTAATTATAATCTCCACAATATTTTGTCTATTTTCTCGTTTATTATTGAATGTTACTTACTACCGAGATCTTTAGAAGATAAACTATAATTAATAGAGAAATATATAGGCATATGATAGTGATACAAAATCTAACTGAATCTTGACTTTGCTTCCAGTCATATATGTTGTAGACCAAAGAGTCTTTGCGGACAAATCAATGAGAAGAATTGTAATTTGTAAACTTTTTTACCAGTGAACTGATCAATTCAAACTAGTTGAATCAGCCATAAAAGTAAAAGTTCCAAAATAAAAATTCTGACGTATATTTGGATGCATTATTGGAAGATGTCATTATGAAACAATTGTTAGTCTCGCATCATATCTTAGAAAATTCAATGACATTATTCGTTCAAAAGATTTTATGTCTAAATTTCTAAATAAAATCCCTAATTTTCTGGGGAAAAGTTCAACTATATCTTGTTTAGCTTTTAATATAATCGCATTCATATGTGTGAGAATAGGATTATTGGGATAAATTTCTGCAAAGTTAGTCAAAATAATGACCAGGAAGAATTATCACCAAACACATATATACAAGGGATCTAAATGAGTCAAGGTTTTCTTTTATAAAGTTAATTGGGGTTCCTGTTTAAGGTTGACAGAGTCAAAAAATTTTGAGAAATGAGAAGGGATGGAACGTGCACGCAAAGACTATACATATATACATGTGTGTGTGTGTGTGTAATATTGATGTTCATTTACATAATTAGTCAAGAATTTGGTGAGATTTGTCATATTTTTCAAAAAGGATAAAATATCTTATCATCTTGAGCAAGGGCCCAAAATTGGTACACAAATTTTGAAGCATAATTACCAAATTCTCAACTAAATTTTTAAAAGATGCGCATGTTTCCCAATAAGTTTCTGGGTGTATTTTCTGCTTCTTAACATCTTGGAAAAATTAGGGACAAACGGAATCGAAGACCTCTCGTTTATCTTGCTAGCTGCTTATCCATCATTAAAAATTTAAATAAAAAATTATATATTTCGGTATAAAGATTACTAGCAAAATTTGATGGACATGATTTACCTTGAGTTGTCTGCTTTCTTTCATAAGGCCAAGATATGAATTTATTTCGAATTGCAATTCAAGCGTAACAGTAACACATATACATATATATATAACGTAAAGTAATATGTACGTTTTTCACCAACTAGCTAGCAGAGGCTGTACTAAGCTTTAAATTAAGCCAGTGCAAGTCTCTCACTTGTTTATACATATTCAATCGACCTAATTCTGATGGTCTAAATACTAAAATACCTACTAATAATCAAGCATGATATTGGATTACAGAGAAGGTATAGATCTATATTGGTAGCTTTAATTATTTATTGTTCACATTGAAAATGCCTTGGCCAGGTGACAAAATACGTTTGGGATCATATTGAGCTTTTCTCTGCTCGAAAAGGCTCCATTTGGCTCCAAAGTGATCCACCCATTGTTTCCTTGTCATGTTAAGTGGAAGATATTGCTTAATCTGAATACCAGATTCCGCACAGAACTGCAATACCATCTGGTTTAGCTTCTGATATGCTTCCACTTCATCAAACCTGCTCGTGTGCAGAAGACTCACCACGTAGAAAACATCTTCACTTGGGATCATCGCAGACATCCTATCATCCCACCTGCAAATTAATTAAATATATATATATATATATAACCCATTAGATATTTCTATTCAATCCAAAACTGATAATGATGTATATGTTACGTGTTTACATTGTTTAAAAGACCTGTTTGAAATAATTTATAAACAACTTTTCAATCATAATTTATGAGATATAAGATAGATATGTGACAGGAGTTTTGTCTCAGTTTAAAACATACTTATAAGTGACTCTAGTCATGATTTCAAAGGGGGCCTAAAACTTACTTGTTGCCATTCACGGGATAGACCAGGACGACTCCCGTAGAGATGTTTTGCTTGAGAAGTATGCCCTTGAAGACTCCTTCATTGAAATCCGTGATTCGAGACTTTGGAACGAACATGTTCAGCCATGGATGAGGAAGATCCCACAGTCCCTGTGGCCTAAGAACAAGCTCGTCCGTGTGAACCCGGTCCAGAAACTCCTCGTACGACACATCCTTCTCGAAGTTAAACGAAGCCACAAACTTTAACCCACTTATCAGCTCTTCAACTTCCTGATTAATTAATTACAACCGAATTAACCAACAAAGTCCCAAATATCAACCAAGAAATTCCCTCAAGATAATTAATTACGTGTGATTATTTAAGGTACCTTGTCGATTGTTGTCTGAGAATCGTTGGTGTAATATTCGGCTAGCTCTAAGACGTAGACGATGCCATTCTGGTGGACGAGGGAAGTGATCCTGGGACGATCAGTCTGTGGATAAAAGGAAAGATCCATGGATGATTGATTCAGCAGAAGCGATCCTTCTACGTAATTAGGGATGTTTTTTTCCACACTTTCGTTCATCGAGATTAATCGTTCTTGATCTGCACTTAGCACAGAGAAGTCATTGTAAAGCAATCGCAGCCACTTCACCTGCAACCAATTAAACAAACCATTTCTTTTATTATTATTTGCGTCCATAAAAACACACACACACACACACACACACACATAAATGAGATACTTGCCCTGGTTGGTGCAGGTCCTAAAGCAATTCTGGCTCTGGTGATGATCCCAAATTGGCCTAAACCTCCAAGAACAGCGTAGAAAAGGTCTGAGTTAATCTCACGAGAACATGTTACTTCTTCTCCTTTCCCTGCAAAATCCCCCATGGGTGTCAAATTCTTTTATTTTAAGTCTCATTTTGAAGAGTGACATGGGTTTAGAAGAAGAAGATTAATAATAATATAAGTATATTAAAGTACTAATCAAAACAATATTAAAGAAGGACTACCGATCACGTCGAATAATTGAAAGAAACAAACATATATACAAAAGGACATGTGTCTCAATAATTGTAATATGCCATAAGGTTAAGGAACGGCACTAATATAATAAAAATGAGTTTAAGTAACCTTACAACACAACCAAATGGCAATGCAAGAGCCTTCCTCAACCCATACAAGGGTTGACTTGATGTTTAAAAATTCTTCTACATATATGAATAATTAATTCAACTCCTCTATTAGTGAGCAACATAATACTACTATATTATCTTAAAATATTCTTGACCTCTGTAAAGAGATTATTGGTCAATAGGTGTGTGTGTGTGTGTGTGTATCAAGGGAAAATGCACACTTTGATCGCCCTCTTCGTATATTGAATAATGCCAACTAGACAATTGATGATGTGGCTGTTTTTTAAGGTAGAATCAATTAATACTAATTGCTGTCGCAATCTAGTGATGATGTATCTTCATTCAATCATTTAATTTACATGTAATCTGGATTAATATCCGGTGAAGTCACGTGACAATTACATATATATGTTTTATTTATTTTGGGTTTATGTAATGCTTTCTTTTATAATGTTTTTCCCAAGCCGACCAAGCATATTGGTCGGCTTCTATGGTCTAAAACAATAAAACCCACCGTATAAGTCTACCCTTTTTGTATTATTGGTCGTATGGTCTCAGCCAAATGTAGTCCCCATCATTCCCACACAACCAAAAGAAGTGGGGAAAAAAAAACAAAGTGATTGATTAATCTAATTTTGTTATTAAAAAAAGAATATATAATTTCATTGAAAAACTAAACATAATTCTGACAAGGATATGTTTTGTTAACGTGCGTAATTTTTTAAGAAAAATAATTAAAGTCAAAGGAATTATTTAATATTTTCACAATTTCAAGGGTCGAAGGAACTTATTAAACTTATAATTTTATATGACAATGAAAGAAATTTAAGGGTGATACATATATATACCTTAAGAAAAATATATGAAGAAAACACACACTTTGTTTCTAAAAGAAAATTAACGTTTTAGAAAATTTAGTCATTGATAGTTAATGCTTTATATGAAAATAGAAATAATGATGTATAAATTAGTGAACACCGGAACAGGGGTGAAAAAAGATGCAAAAATATTGAGAATGGTCAAAAAAATTAGAAGAAACATTAATTTTAATGAAATACATAAACTAGCACAGGCTATAATTGATCAAATATATGTGACTGACTGATTTATTGCTTGCCCTATCTAGAAATAACGTCTCTTATTTCTTTTCACATGAATTCCCGACTTTAAAAATCTGTTACGTGCAAACAGAAGGCGTGGCCAATAAAGTTTAATTAATTACGCAAATAGCGAGCGTAATCAAATAAAATTAATAGCTGGTTAATTATCAGAAATCTATATATTGTATGCAACTAAATCAATGACAAAATCTCTGCTGTCGAACAAAATTTGTAAGACTCTTGCTTTAGCTGTCCTTTTCTTTGTTGTTTTTCCTTAAACTAAGACTTGTTAAAAAAAAATTACATATGCAAAATTCTGAATGTTGTCATAAATAATCTTCCTGAATATGAAATTTCAACTAAAATTGACAATCAATTATCGCTTTCTCAATTATATTGAAAAGCCCTCACAAAACTATAGTATAGTATTTAATAATTGAGAATTTAAAGTTTTTATTTAATTTAATCCAAAATATAGCAGAAAGGGTTCTGTCAGGTAGACTCCTCCTGATGATAACTTTTTCATGCTTCTCAATATAATAAATATCCTTTGTCTAAAAAATTAACCTTTAAAACATTCTTTGCTTTGATATTCCCCAACTAAAACATCTAAATTGTAGAGTATAAGTACTCCTAGGTGATTTTGAAACTTTAAAAGTACTAAAACCCTCCAGAAGAAGGGGAGAGAAAAAAAATCACAGTAGTGAATAGTGATTCATACCTGTAACAACATCCAGTTCGTAAACATTTTGAATCTGAGGACCAAATCGAAAGGTTTGGCCGCTAATCCCAGCATTAGAAAGGGTACCGCCGACCGTCAAATACAAGTAATCTGTCCAAGAACGAGGTGACAATCCACGTTTCATGGTCTCATGCAGGACATCGATCCACCTCTGTCCACCACCCACGTCCACGTAATCCCCCGGCGCCGCCGTCTTCTCCGTCACAAATATCCCCCCGGACGACGACGACCCACCATTATTATTTCTGAAACAGCTCATGTTCACCACAACCCCACCAAAAGCCATGGACTGTCCGTTCACCGAGTGAGCCTCCCCTCTGGCGGCAACACTGAACGGAATGTCTAACGAGTTTGAGAACTTTATGAGCACCGATATGTCACTTGTGGACGCCGGGTTCATGATCGCCACCGGATGCTTATGAATTATGTGCCCAAAATCTGTGGAGCCTTCCGACAGAGACTGAGGATCACGAGCAAGCCTTATCGCTACCTCTGTTGGTGCCTGCAACACCGACAATGTCCCAGATTGTCCCTCGGACACTACTAGGATGCTGCTTGTTATTAGCCATAACAACATGAGCAAAGGCTTCGCCATTTGATTCACAGGCAAGTTTTAATCTTTTGGTTGATCGCTATATATATATGTATATATGTATGTATGGTTTTGAGGGAGAGATAGAGAGAGAGTTAGGTTTCAATGGGGCGAAGTGTGCGTGGTGTGGTGTTGTGTATATATAGGAAGAGATGGAGAAGATTGGGGGAGTGCAGCGACGTCGTGTCGTGGGGGAGGTTTTTTTGTTTTCTGTGGGCTTTGATTTGCTATGATTCACGCCTTGAATTGTGAGTGTTCCTTTTGCAGATGCACGCATACACATACATACATACATATTGAACAATAAAACCAAGATTTTCTTTTTGTTTCTTTTTTTTTTGTCCAAGATAAAAGGCCATATCTTTCTGGATGATCATTCTAAGGGGATGTTTAGATGAAAACCAAACCATGATTTCAAAAGTAATTTTACGGTTTGCGAAGTAAATATATGGAGAAGTTTGTCTCGTTTTGCAGAAAAGTGCTTCTAAAAAGCACTTTTAAGCATTCCCAAACACCCCCTAAGTAGTTACTCAGTGGACGGAAATAAAGAATTATGGTCAAACTTTTTGATGATTTCATTTTAAATTAACTGCTGACTCGCTCAATTATATTATTATATTATATGTGATATAATTTGTCAAAGTCAACAATTATTTTATTTTGAATATATATATTGAGATTTTCTGGCCATCGAAGTTTCTTGTTTTTTGTTTTTTCTCCCACAACATTCTCACCCCGGAAAAAACAATTCTTATAAGGGGCCGTATTTCTCTAGAATTCTACCTAAATAATAATAATAATTACCATCTATCAATTTTCAATCAATTCGTATATTTGCTCGGATTAAGTTTCTGCGATTTTTCTTGACCAAGATGATCGATTGTGTCAAGTATTTCAAACGAATCCGCAGACAAAAGACACAAGATTTTTCTTCCTCTGGTGAAGAAGACTCACGAATATTAATTAATATAGAGTCTATTTACGGACCGTGTTAGGGAGTTTGCAATCATCCTGACTGATATTTAATTCCAAATACGGTAATTTCTAATTTATCAAATATTGTAATTGATCATAAGCAGCCTAGTTTATTATAGAGCGGAATAAAAAAGAGAGAGAGAGAGAGAGAGAAAACCAAACAGCAGCCTTCTTAATGTTTACAATAATACCTTACCATTTAAATATCATATGCATCAAACATTAAAGTTGATTATCATATACTATCCAAAACGCATGTTCTATAATAATGATAAAATTATTTCAAAATATGAAACTAACATTTTTCTAAATGATTATTTAAAAAATCAATCATTTAGTCCTTGTCTATAATTTTGATTTTATTACGAATCAGTTAAATTTAACTCGAATAAACTTACTCTATTAATTAAGTTTTAGTTAGTTAATTTTTTAGTCGCCATGCTTTGTAACTGGATTACAATTAGTTATTGAATGACTAAATGATTTTCTCAAAGTATAAAAATCAATAGATTGAATGGCTGGAATTCGAGAGGTTGAGTGTGAGTAGAACTTCAAGATGAAATTATAATTACTAAAATATATATATAATGAAATTATAAGGATCAACAAGCGGTACTTCCTGATACTGTATTTGAAGCAGTTGTTCGAGTTCCTTATGATATGCAAGTGAAACAAGTTCTTGCTAATGGTAAAAAGGGGGCTTTGAATGTCGGGTCTATGTAAATAATTACCATAATTATGCCGAGAACTCCACTATTTATATATATAGAACCATTTGTTCTCAAGAATATAATGTCATTACTGAAAACAAAACCTTCCTTTTCATCCAAGAATTACATAAAATTCCTTATGAGTGAATATTATTTATATGTATATTTATATAGTGAGAAACAAGGAGTATATTCCGTTGATAGTGGACATAAAGTTTGCTGCACCCACGAAAATCACTTAATTTTTTTTTTTTTGGTTGAGTATGGGGTATCTACTGCTGATAGTAGTGAGTAATCCCCTTACACCGTAGACTTTTCGAATGGGTTTTAGTGCTAGCCACAAAATTCTTTCCACACACAAGGCTAAAGATCAAACCCTAGATGCTTAAGAAACCCAGCCAAGTGCTTAGCCCTATGGTTTGCTAATCACTTACTTCAATAATGGAAATTTCTACTACTCACTATCAAATTGAGTTGGTCAAATTTCATATATCTAGCTAGGCAGTGGTTTTCTTGGGGGGCCCCGGTTTTTAATTTGTGTTTATTTTGAGTGAATTCTCCAACCATCGTCACGATAAGTTATTTGTAACAACTGTTCATGGGAGACTAATTAATTGGAGTACATAATGCTCCATTTAGATTTATGATATTGACTTGCAATTCGCATCATGCTACATTTTGAAGTAACTTTGAGGAATGGCTTTCTCTCTTCTCTAACTCTCTAACATGGAGCCGACCTTTCTTCTTTACACTTCATCACGTATACTTAGGTAAACGTGTGTTTACATATTATATTCACTGAACTTGTGTGCACTAATCAATTATCCTTCTCAGCATCCACAATAAAATATGTCAGAACTCCACCATAGTGTCCATGAATTATCAGTTGAGCTGATATTATTATTAATTATTATATATTTTATATCGATTAATATTGTATATTGACGGGACATAACTGAAAATAATAAACGGGTTCAAACAAACTCTGGGCATAATTACAAATTAATTGGATGCAACGGAATCAGAGAGCTAGAGTTTAAGAACAAAAGGATGAGAATTTCAAAAGGAAAAAAAAAAATAGACTCTTACATATATAGCTTTACACTTAATTTATTTTCAAAAACATGTGCATTTTTTTTTTTTTACTTCTGGGGTTTTTTAATAAAAACCTATTGATAAAGTCGCTGACCTAGAACTTGTCATATGTGTGTGTGTGTGTGTGTGTGTGTGTATTTGTGTGTGTAAAATCCGCCCATCACATTAGGATCGTTCTCCTCACCATCTTTTCTTATCAATATTTTCTTTTTAGAATTTGAAGTGCTGTAGATCAGAGATTTGATTAATTTGGTTTATGGTAGATAAATAGCCCTATGCAAGCATTCTTGAGTAGCTGCTCTAGGAATTCATGATTAAGTCCCAAAAATGTTTAAGCTTGAAATTATTATGAGATTTGCGTTCCTTTTTTTTTTTTTTTGGGCTGTCATTATTTCCACCATGTCTCATCGAATACATATCATATACAATCCAATCTGTAATTTACATTTATAATTAAAAGATCCGATTTTACAGCACAATTTGTCTCAAAAATGGGAGCAAATGGAGCATTATGATGAAGAAATTAAATGATTAAAGACGAAGATTTGAGGAGGTGATATTGTTACTTTGTTTAATCACAATTTGAAGCATCCCTTCCGGAGCATACTTGTCTTAAAATCTCTTAAGCAATATTACTGACCGACATTTTGAGATTTATTATTTGTTTATTACAGTATAATTAAGTTGCACTTGTTCCAAGAAAAATACTACTTTGAGGAAGTACGCCAGTGCGTACTATACCATATATAAGGGATTATGTTGAACATATTATCTGGGATTTAATATAAATGTATCCATAAACTTCACATTGGGACAATCTCGATATTGAAAAATTGAACCTTTGACCTACCATTTTTATACATTTTTTTAATTTAGCCCATATCATCATTTAATTTCTTAAGCCCTAAACCTTAATTTATGATCATAATTTTCGGTAAAGTCAATCATCAGTTTTTCTGGGAATAATTAATTTATGTCAACATACAGGATCCCTGAATCCTGATCCTAAGATCATTGCTAATGATATTAATTAAGTAAGGAGCATTTACCTTGATTATTATGTATTTAATTTAATTTAATTATTATGATGGGAGACATGCAGAGCTCGAATTGACAGAGTTTGAGATAAGAGGGATGTGCAATGAATATATAGAAAGGTCAACCTCATCTTTATGCATTATAACCAAACGAATCCATTTAGAATTACGTTTTATGACTAATTCATTCCAAACTAATCGTACTGAAAAAAGGAACCTTAACAAAATGGTTGAAATCATTAAAGGTCAAAATTTTTGATCGAGACGTTCTAACGTCCAACAAAAACACGAATGCAGCACAACCATATAAACATGTTGCTTGTAGATTGAAGATTAATGAGTCATCGTATCATCAATTGAAATATATCATAAACCTTAATTAAATAGTTTATTATCTTTATTAGTATGAGAATTATTTAACTAATTTGAGTAAATTAAGAAAGTCAAATAAATTAATTAATAATAACAGATGTAACATGATCTCTTTAAAATGCTTTTGTATAACACATTAGATTATGTTTTACAAGTTATATAATTTAGCTTGAGGGAAAATGATAAAAATGAAAGATAAAATGAATATAAATCTTATATTTAGGATTAAATTCAACCATCAATTGGTTTTTATGTTAGGGATTAGAACGAGCATTAACAATTGAATACTATTCTTTTTCATTTTAGGAGTGAATTATCGTCATCTTGTTTATAAAGTTAAGTAATTTCACTCTTATAATGTAACTAAATACGTATGGCTTGCTAGTGAAAGACCTACAAGATTTATTAAACTAGTATTTATCAGCAGAGCTTCCAGCAGATAGAGCAAATTTATCAGCATAGCTGTAATGTTTTGTGTATATAGTGGATCCTTAATCAAAAAAAAAAACAAAGAAACAGCTGGATCCCGTATATATTATATAAAAAAAATAGATAGTAAAATAGTAAAATATATCACGCATCATATAATTCTATTTTCCCGAATGAATCTACTATTCATTTTATTCTGGACTTGGAAACTGAAAATTTTGCTTACGGCATCTGAATAAAGAGCACACGATTGATATCTTATGATGAACAAATAATGCTAGAGGTTATGCATTTCACTTTTTTTTTTTTTCTTTTTAGCATAAGTTGGAGTATCTCCTTAAGTCGTTTTGGGCTTAAGTCATTTTCTATCGGATTGAGAGTGTTAAAATTAAAGTCCTCCTAACAAATGTGTTTTTTGATATTTAAACTTTTATTTTTCTTTTAT